CTCCCAGGGCTGAGCCCGAGGTGTGCCCAGGGGTAACGCTAAGGGTGGTGTGGGACTGGCCCCCGGCGCTGTGCGCTGGGAGGGGACACCCCCTGCCATCTGTGCGGGCAGTTACTCTGGTCGTGCATGGTGCTGTGCCTGGGGCAGCCTGAACTCCTCTCCCGGGGTTGTCCCGTGGGGAGGGGACACCCCTCGCTCCCCTAAGGGAGCTCCCCCCTGTTCCTTCCCTGCAGGGACCTTGGTGCTGTGCCTGGGGACAGCCTGGCATTCCTCTCGGGAGCTGTCCCCAAACCAGCCCCCCCAGAGCTTTGCTGCTCCTGCCCCTCGTGTTCCCCCTGCCAAGCCTGGCTCGTTCTCCTGGGTCAGTCCTGCATGTTCCCCTCGCTTTGGTTTGCCCACCTGTGGCTGATCCCCTTCCCCAGGGCTCACCCCGTCCCACGGGGACACCCCGTGCTTGTTGCTGTACTGACACCATCCCCGTCAGTCTCCCTGCCCGACGGGAAGGGGCCAGGAGGACTCTGGGTGGTGCTGGGGAGAGAGGGTTACTCTTGGGCTTGGAGGAGGGAGATGCTGCGTGCAGGACTCGAGGGCACTGGAGCAGGAGCATCTGAGAGATGAGCAGATGAGCTGTGGCGTGCGTGGCCTCTGCAGTGCCCATATCCCCTCTGTGAAGAGCCAAACAGAAACAGATCAATCCTGTAAACAATTTCGCTCTCCCTGGGGCGCTGTGAGCCCTTATGTCCTGGTCACAGAGCATCAGTGCTCGGTGGAGCCGAGGGTCTGGGAGTGGTATTTCCATGGAGGCACGTGGTGCTGACCTGCCTGAGCACAGGGAGTGTCGTGCCTTGCCTTGCTGAGGTGGGGGGAGTTGTTTACAACGCGACAGCCTGTGCCTCCAACGGCTCAGGAACTCATCCGGGGATGAGAGTCATTCATTTTTTGGTTTGGCTTCGTTTTGGAGCATTTTTCAAGCTGTCACAGCTTGGCAGGTCTGTAGCTGCAGTGTCAAGATTCAGAATTATTCTGTCGGTAATTGCTTTCTGATTCATCAAAATGATAGATGGGGGGGGAAAAAATGACAAATAATCACAAGTTGGGGGATCTTCAAGGATATCCCTAAAAATGTGCCTGGAGAAGTGTGGCATGTGCGAGTCCCTTGTCAGGAGGTCACCTTTGCTGTCAGAGTGTTTGCAAAGAAATTCTCTTGAATTCAGAGCTGGGAAAAAACATGGATCACTGGAAAAAAAATGAGCCTGTGAAGCAAACTGTAAAGGCAGTTTTAGATAATTCAGTCTTTGGCCTTTTTTTTTTGCCTGGTCTGGAAACAGGTATCATCCCCTCAGGTACTAACAACTGTCCTTTCCAAGGGTGCTAAAACAAAATATGCTCAACTTCCCTGCCTGGAGAGCAGGGCTGTGCTCTGCTGCATGTTTTCTTCCCTGAGCTACACCAGCTTGTCTAATAAAAGCTATTACTGCTCTCCTACTCACAGCCTCAGACTAGCACAGCTATGAGTGATCTCTTACTTGTCTTGTTCCCTTAGTTACATTTCCCGAGCCTCTCCCTGCCACAAGTCCCTTCGTTTTCAGAAGCGTTGTGGGAGTTGTGTGGTTACATCTCTTACATCTCCTCTTTTCTCTCCTTTAAATGTTGAAGGTAGGTGACTCATCATAACTCCAGCTGATATTTCTCAGTGATCTCTTATTTAGCACCGAGCACGGAGCAGAAGATGTATCGCAGAGTCAGAGATGGTGATACCAGCATGGATGGGAAAAAACAACACAACAGGCAGCACAGTAGTTGCTTGGTGCTCTTGCTTTTGTTGTGGGGTGTATAGGCTGCCTCTCCAAAAGCAGAGTGACCCTGTGTGGGTTGAGGTGTGGGAGGCTCAGGCTCCTCTGTCCATGGTATTCTGTTGATAAGGGAATGTTCTCCCACAGCCATGGATGCCCTTCATGGGGGCAGCTTCCAGCAGCTGGGTGTGAGGCTTGGCTTGTCTCCCTGGGCAGGGAGTGCAAAGAGACTGTTTGGAGCAAAAGATAAAAACCTGTTGAAGATACAATGAGGATACTGCAACAAGACCTGAATTCAGCTCAGCTGAGCAGCTTTGTTTTCCAACACCTAGTGGTTTTCCAAAAGCAATAGTTGTTTTTATTTCCGTTTTCTTTAATGGCTTCACTGACACAGAGCAGGGTTAGATTAGGCGTTAGGAAGAAACTCTTCCCTGTGAGGGTGGTGAGGCACTAGCACAGGTTTCTCAGGAAAACTGTGGCTACTCCATTCCTGGGAGTGTTCCAGGCCAGTTTGGATGGAGCCTGGAGCAACCTGGGCTAGTGGAAGGTGTCCATGGCAGAGGGTGGAACAAGATGAGCTTTAAGGTCCCTTCCAGCCCAAACCATTCCATGATTCCTAAGCAAACACTGTGGTCCTTGCAGTCACTTGTGGTGCCACAAATACCGTTTGTACAACATTCTGCCTTCAGAGGGCTCAGCGAACCTTCGGTGCAAATCATGACTCACCAGGATAATCGTCTTTTGTCTCTGGGCGTGTGTGTGCATGTATTTGCAGTGGGAGAGAGGCAAAGGGAGCTCGGGAAGGCTGTGGAGAGTAGGGAGAGCGTGGTGATCCCTCTCCCAGCCTCACCTTGCCGCTCGGACTGTAGATGGAGCAGCGCGCTGCTGTTCTTGGCGCTGATGGGGATTTTGAACTCCTTGTTAGTGTTTCTATGCACAGTGGCTGTTTGCAGTTTTGTGGTGTTACAGAGAAGGGTTTGGCTCTGTCCTGGGTGATGTAGGGTCTCTGTTACATCTTCTCTTTACTCTTATTTTAGCTCTAAGCAGCACATTTGAGCTATTTCAGTGATCTCAAAGGAAAACAGAATGATGCTGTGCAAGGACACTGGTCTGGGAACCAGCCAACTTGACTTGCGTTTCCAGCTCTGCTGTTCTCTGGTGTGGAACAAGGGGCTTGTTGCTTAACCACTCTCTGCACATGTTTAATTCCAACTTCAACAGAGCTGCTCATGCTCTGTCTGCTTTGTGAGGCTCTTTTGCATCACAGTTCAGGAAGCACTGGATGTTGTTATCTGTCAAACAGCAAACACAAGCAGGAAAGGGTGTTTAACTCAGTGTGCCCTCCTGCTGCTTTTCCTTCACCAGGATCTCTTCCCAGTCCTCTCCTCCAAGCCTGTTTGGATCCAAGCAGCTAAGGCTTGCTGTGCATCCCTCTCCAGCAGTCTGTGGCTGGCAAGGGAAGGGATGCTGAAGTACCAGGTTGCATTGTGTGGGCACCTGCCCTCAATTGTGCTGTTCACAGGGCTCTCAGGTTTGCACTAATAATGCTCAGCAGGTTCCTCACTGCTTGTTGAGTGCCTTGGTTTGGGCATGGCTGTGCAGAGAACTTCCGGAGGCTGCAGCTCATTGAGAAGTCCAAGGCTGCCAGATAAACCTGTCTGCTGCCATTGCCTGTGTTTTCCCTGTCTGTAGTGCTGGAGCAGCCTTGCCAAGGGCAGGACAGCATCCTTGGAGGAACCATGCCTTTCCCCCTGGTTTTGTTGAACACAAAAAGCTGACAAAGGGCTGGCTATGGTGGCTTCTTGGTCTGGTGTGTGTATGTGTGAGCTTGATCAGTTGCCACAGCCTGGTTTGTTCTGCACGAGGACAGTGAAGGCGTGGGGCTGAGGAGGGGAAGCTGTGCTGGAGGGTAGGAGACCTGCTGTGAAGTGATGCTGTGGAGGAGTTTGCTGATGGGCCTTGAGAGGAAAGCCTCGTTGCCGTGGAGCAAGGGCGTTCAGAGTGGTTTCGCTCTCTGTTCCTGTTCCCCTGAAACCCCTTTTTAGCAATCAGCTGTAATAAAGTGTTCGTAACTAGATGAGTGATGACTGGTACATGTGGCTCCCAGTAATGCTAAACCCACCATGCTTTGTAATAAGGTTCTAGTGCCTGGGGTATTTTGCCTAAAAATAGCGGAAAAAGAAAAAAAAGAAGAGATGACTGTTAGGGGAAATCTAATTCAGAAGGAAACAAATGGCTTTTAATCTTTCCCTCTGTTTCAGAGTGAAGGATGCCAAGGAAGAAGAAGCCCACAGAGGGCCTGGAGTCTCGAGGTCAGGATGGGGAGGAAGAGGAGGAAGACAAGAGGAATTCAGGCAATGCCAGGAAGAAACGCAGTTTTGTGGATGCATTTATTGTTATATCCGACAGCGATGGAGAGGTCAGTGAGGGGTTTGGGGTGCCCAGAACCTGTGCTGGGCCCTGCAGCTACAGGACACTGCCTGAGCAGCCCTCACTGTTGTGCCAGGGTCAGGCTTTGTGCAGAGGGTCTTGTGCTGTTCCTTTCCTTACATGTGAGATGAATCAAATCCTATTTGACTAGGAAATGAATGGTGTGCTTCGTGAGGGTGAGTTATGAGTCTGGGATTTGATAACCAAATCCTCTCAGTACTGAATCTGAAACGTAATTTAAAAGTAACCTTTCCTCAATCCCTTTACAAATCTTTTTTTCATAATTTTTATTTGATTGATTTCCAGCTAAACCTTAGGAACATGATTCTGTATTATGTGCAAATAGATAAGAAAATGATTCAGAACACAGGCTTGTGAGTAGCTCAGGGACAGCCTGTGGCTGGTAAACTGATCCTGAATTCCAGGAGTCTGAGTTTGTAACACATCTCCGTGGGTGTAAAGGTGAATGTGTGGTGTGGGAGTGCTTGGCTAAGGCATCAAGGCTCAGATCCCTGATCCCCAGTGTTGGCTTACACACATCAGCATTACCCTCAAGATTGAAATGTCTCTGTTGGTTACTCAGCGTTGGGATGAGTGCAGGAATTCCTGCTTGGGGGAAGCCCAGAGCCCTGAGAACCTGTGCTGCACTGAGCGAGGTACAGAAGAGGAAATTATTAGAATCAGGGTTGGGTTTTTTTTGTGTGACTCTTAGGGCTTTGCTCTGTCTTGCTGGTGATTGGGGATCCTAAGCTGCTTTTTGTAATTCCACCATTTTCAGAAGCATTTCAGTTCGCTCTCAAGCTGTAGATCTTAAATCAAGTCCCTTTCGCTCCCACATCTGCAGTGTGCTGCTCTCCAGTAAGGAGATTATCATGTGAGGAGGGGAAAAAGCACTAGAAATAAACAGTAAGAAGCTGTAGGGCAAACGATATTGGATGTTTTTTCTTCACATTGTCTGAGTTCTTTCCCATTGGGAAATTCCCTGAAAGAAATGGAACATATGGCAGTAATAGTTCAGTGGGGTTAAACCCTTAGCTCTGCAATATGCTAAGTTAACTTCAGATGTCTGCTGCATCACTGGCCTTTATTGTGAAACCTATAAGGGAAAAAAGAAATCAGCAGCTCTAAGAGCTGCTGCAGTACATAAAAGATCAGGACCTGTTATTGTCTGCAATTATTCATCTCAATGTGCACATATCTGAAAAAGAGGAAACAAACGTCTCTTAAAACACATCTATAAAAAGGTTAGGCTCCCTGACTGTTCTGTAAGTTTGTCTATAAACAATAAATTCTGATGGCATAATCGGTCATATTACAGAAAAGGATATGCTCAGAGAGGCCGTTAAAGAGCCAATTAGGTTCTGTTTAAGTGACAACAGTTCAGTCAGTTGAACGAGTGGATTTATTCAGTTCAGTCTCTTTCTGTGAGTCATCAGCTCCCAGATCCAGTGCCACAGTCTCCTGTCATGTTGTTTTCTGCAGAATCAAACACAGAAATGTGATTTACTCGGGATCTCAAAAACATAACTGTCTGCCTTCTGTAACTGTCTCAGCTCTTCAGGGTGCATCAAGTTGAATTTCAATTTTGAACCTTGTAACTGTTGTTCTTGCTCTGGTAAGACCTTGTTGTGTGCTCAAGAAGAGGTGTGGGAAGCTCAGATCAATAGCAATTTTAGAGAACAATACATTCTCAATTAATCTTGCATCTGTTAGGACATGGTTCCTTATGAATCAAAAGCTACAAGGACAATTTGGGCATCATTGATTCGATGGCTTTCTTCCTTGGCAGTCTCTTGGCAGGTATCTATAGAACAAGTCCCTAGTTCTGCTTCCAGACCAGCAGATCTTGTAGCAGCTGCACCTGGAAAGCCTCCAGCTTCTCACTTTTGATGATCTTTGGCAGACTGCCTCTCCCAGGAATTTTTCAGTCATGCTGGATTATCAAGCTCATCCATGTTATTTTGCCAAGTTCTCTTTTCTTTGCTCATGTCTGTGCTGTGGCATCTGCAGAGCTGCATCAGAAAGAGGTTTTCTGGACGTGAGGCTTTTCTGATCTCTGCTATATATAATCCTGGATTCGGGGAACACTTCTCTTTTTTTGGAAAGGGTTGGACAAAATAAGAACAGTCTCTCTGGCTTTGTTGAAGCAAGAGGAGATGACCTTCCTTGTGTGGACTGTGTCTCTGAGAATGCAGACGTGCTGGATGAGCAGAGTGGTTCCCATCTCCCCTAGCTGTTTAAATACCACAGGAAATTAGTTGCCTATGCCAGAGGATGGGTGGTCACTTACAAATACGCTATATGCCAAATAGTGCCCATCAACGCTCCCTCCAAGCATAGCAGTTCGTGGTCTGCCTCATGAGTCTCCTGCTTGAATTGGGCTGTGGTAAAGACTCTGACCTCCAAGATTTTCCAAAGCCAAGTCTTTCAGACGATTGTTCTCCTGCACAAGGCCTGGCCAAGAGTGAGCACTGAGCACAGCCTAAAGGTTATGCTGACCTGTTTCACTGATCTGCAGCCTTTGATCCCAAAACGCTGCTGATCTGCTGTGGGACCTTTTGGAAGGGTCTGTTTTTCCTGGGTAGATCCTTTGGGAGCTTTGAGATTATCTGCCTGTACTTGACATGGAGTCTCACAAGCTCTTTCTGCCAGATCCATCAGCTCTGCCAGCCCTTAGGGAACATATGACAAGACTCCAGGGTGATGGTGCCATCTAGTTCTGCGTGGCATGCCTTCCCTTCAGTGTGGAACATCCTTTTCCCTGAATGTTCTCAGAGTCAGGGTGATCAGCAGTGTGTGTTGGTGTTGGCTGTGGTGCAGAGAGAAGTGTTTGACCATGGGCTGGAATACCTCCAGCTCCATGGTGGGGAGGAGAATCAGGGGGGAAAAACAGTAGCCCTCATGGGTTGAGATAAGAACAGATTAATAACTGAAACAAAATAAAATATAATAATGCTAATAATAATCCTAATGATAATATCAATAATAATTGTAATGAAAAGGAGAGAGAGAGAGAGAGAGAGGAATTGCTTTTTATCAGAGACAAGGAGGAATGGGTTCAGACTGAAAGGGGAAATTTAGGTTAGATGTATGAAAGAAATCCTTCCCTGTGAGGGTGGTGAGGCATTGGCACAGGTTTCCCAGAGAAGCTGTGGGTGCTCCATCCCTGGCAGTGTTCAAGGCCAGACACTGAGCAACCTGGTCTAGTGGGAGGTGTCCCTGCCCATGGCAGGGGGTGGAATGAGATGATCTTTAAGGTCCCTTCCAATCCAAACCATTCTAGGATTCTGTGAATAAACCCCAAGAGAAACGAGTGATGCACAGTACAGTTGCTCACCTACTGACTGATCCCCATCCAGTCCCCTAGCAGCAATTGGTGACTCCTGTCAATTCCCTAGTTTATATGCTGGGAATGAAGTTCTATGGTATGGAATATCCATTTGGCCAGTTCCCCCCAGCTTTGTGTGCACCTGCTCACTGTCAGAGCATGGGAAACTGAAGAGTCCTTGACTCCGAGTAAGCACTGCTTAGCACCAGCTAAACCATCAGTGAGTTATCAACATTGTTCTCACACTAAATCCAAAGCACAGCACTGCACCAGCTGCTAGGAAAAAAATTAACTCTATCCCAGCCAAAACCAGGATACCACCTCACACCACTGACCATCTGGGCAAAGCAGAGCCATGTGGGAGTATGTCTGCAGTGCTCTGCTGTCCCCGCGGGCTCTGCTGGTGCCGGGGGACCAGTGCCTCCAGTTCCCAGAGGAGCACTCAGTGCAAGTTGGCTCTTGAGGAAGCTCCATAACTCTGCTGTGCTTGCTCCTCCAAAATCAGATTGATGTGGATCCAGGCTCCTCACAGCCCGGTAAAAACCCTTTTCCTACAGAGTCCTCCCTCCTGTGTCGGGATCTGCATGTCTGGCACGAGCCCTGTTGTGTCTTGTTGTTCAAGTGGCCACTTCCAGCAGGTTAGTTCTAATGAGCCGAAAGACACAGCAAAGCTGAAACAGATTCTGAACTGAAGTCAGAGACTAATAAAGTAGGGTGTGATATTAATTTCAGCAGCAGCCTTGGCTAGAGCCAAACATGGCACTTCCAACATCTAATTGACTTTTAAAAATAAATTAGTCTGGTTTTCATGTGCATATTTCCCATGCAGGACGTGTGGTGTTTGGCTGTGCCCTGTTGTTAGATGGTCCCAACTGCTGTTGAGCAGTAAAATTACCTAGACCTTTTGACTTTGCAGTCTGCACCGTTAGCGGTGGAGACATTGTGCTGTAGCCTTTTCCTTCCCTGAGCTGATTTCTGTAGTTTATGATGTGGATTTGAGGGAGCAGGATGTGGGATGCTGGCTACTGGCTTCCATTTATGGGCTTTTAGAAGCAAGTGGGGCTGTATCTGTTTCTGCTGGCAGAGTCAGCTTCTCTTAAGTATGTGCAAAAGCATTTGTAAAATGGGGATTTGATTTCCTGCTGTCTGGCGCAACCAGGCAGGTTGAAAAAACAAGGAAGAAGAATGGTGGCTGCCTTCCACTAAATGTG